AGCCTCCCTCAAACGATGGCAGAGCCAATGATGTGTGTTAACATAGAAATGCACTAAACCTTTGCATTTAGGGTTAAAACTGAGGTTCTCCTTTCAGATGAACTCACCATATATATAATTATAGCTTATTGTTTAACCAGTCAGCTATACAGTAGACTATCGTGACAAAAACAAAACAACAAGAAAGGAACTGAGAAAAATCATTTTTGACTTTTACAAAGCTAGAAGACAGTACACATGCAAGCATTTATGCCTTGCTCTGTATACACACTTGGATAAAATGAGGAAATTTGTCCAACAGACAATTTTTTTTCAATCACTTTGATAATAATAATGTTTCCAATTCTAATAGACAAACACAGAGAGTGCATTATTGCCCAATGGGGGTGTTAATGGTTGGAAAAGGGAAGCATTTTGTTAAGCTTGAATACACTTCAAATACTAACCCTAACATAACCCAGTAAACTGCACAGAAAACCACCAATGGCTCAACAATGTACATGCACCAACTGTTATGCCATATGGACCAACTCCACAGGGCATCTCTCCCCCGGCCCCCACTGAGGCCAGGGACCTTAATCTAGAATAAGCAGATTTATACTGGCATTCATTTAAAGATGATGGGGTTTTCAGCCTTGGTATGGAGTTTAATAAAGAGTAAAATAGAGAGTGAATTTACCACCATAGAGCATTTGTAACAGAAAATCATCAAATGGCTGTGTACATTTTATTGCTACAATTACACCGAGGGTGTTTACTTCTGAAAAGCTTGATTTATTTCCAGCCAGGCGAAGATAAGTGATAACCTAAGAGTGTAATTAAAGTGCAATCATCCATCATTAGTTATGCCGTGACAGTCTGTCTCTGTTCTAATAACCCTAACAGCCCCTGGTGGAAACAGACAGTCAGTGTGTCAGGGAGGAGGAGCTTCCTCTACATTTTAGGATTCCTTTATATAAACCTGAAATAAAAATGACTAAATCTCCTCTGTGTTTAAAAAAGCTGTCAACATTCCTCACACATTTTGCTGACTTAGTCACTATGAATGATCCACCCTTATTACAGCTTCATGGTCCCTGTTTTATCAGCAGCACCAGATGAGAGAGGTGCTTTGTCCTGGGGCAATAAAACAGTCAGAGGCAGGTCAGTGTATAATTTTATTTCTCCGTCTGCAAGAGGCCCAAGTGATTTACTCATTTCTGAAATTATGTTTAACCTCGATTAACCTTTTTCTAACTGGATTCAAATTATAAAAAGGTAATAATGTATAATTACGGGTTTATAATTTATAAGCCGTTTGTCTTTATTAAAGGATCAGTAAATACACTGACCTGGCACAAAGCCATGTGACAGACTATGTGGAAGAATACATGCAAAAATGAGTTAATCCAAGTTGTTCACGTTTGTGTGATGTAAACTCAGACCATCAAATATGACATAAGATAACACAGTGAATAATACATGGTCATAATGGTGAAAGAATCAGTGTTGCCTGCACACTATTACGCATTTTACACAATTTGAAATTAATACAATCGGAGAAAACTGTGTAGCAATTCCTAATTGAATATTGATGCACTTCAACTAAAAATACATGAGTACATGCACGTCTTAAAAAATAGGACCGGCTTATTAGCTTAATTAATTATATAGTATAATGGTTTAATTCTGTTTTTAAATGTGTGTAAATATATTTTAATATATTCATATTTTGTTATCTGAATTAACAACTTCATGTTTTATACAATTAAAAAACAGTGTCAAAGTCCAGGGTACGCTGTCCACTCACGAGCATTTAAATACATTTGAAATAATTTAAAAGCGCATATACAAGCGACGCAGCTGCGCAGCTTTGATTCTCTTGAGCACAGCGGTTGACAACATCCGGAAGTGCCATCGTGCAGTTCATGCTACAGTGGCAGACTTGACTGTTGTCTACAAACTTTGGACTTAGTGTATGATTGAGAACCGTCGACTTACATTGTAAGTAGAGAGAAAATGCAATATTGTCATCCACAAAAACTGTCAACGTCACAGTTAAAGGATTTACAAATGGGAACGTTTGTATTCGTGTTGAGGTTTCTCCACGTGTTAGTTTTTTGCACTGTTGTTGCAGTTGATGAGTCACTGTGATTTTAGAAACAATTTGTATAAAACAGAGCCACTAATATATTGTCAAAATTAGGCTGATCGACGGATTTAAAACCCCAGAAAACGCACGTTGACAGATTATGTTTGAGATTTGGGAAATGTATGTTTTATGTCATTTTATTTTTAGACTTCAAATAGCAGTTGAGTAGTCATTGATTTAGAAGTTAAACACAGCAGTTTAATATTGTGATGCCATGTTTACTAAGATGTTGTCAAGCCAATGCTCTAAAAGAATCTAACCTCTGTCCTTGTGTTTGTTGATTGGATTGTACCAATACACTGCAGCTGGAATTGTGATCTATTTAGTGGCCACAAATCTGTCAAGTCACTCAATAACATTAAATTAAAAGAGTTAAATTAACATATTGTTTAATGTATTACATTTACTTGTGACACAGAAAATAATTTCAAACACCAAGAGCAAAGAAAAGAATATAATTTAAGTAACCGATCAACAATGGTCAAGTCTTAATTTCAGTTTTTACAATTCAAGTAACCAATTGGCCAATAAAATGTCTTAAAAGCTGATTTTTTTAAAATAACATTTGCATATGCATAGGATTCACCAAACTTCAGTTTGTTGAAGTCAAAATGGCTGATCCAGGCGCCGATCAGCCCAGTGGTCAGCGAGTTCCAACCCCTGGAGGGAGCACTGCAGGAGTACTGATGAATCGCCGACCTTCATCTGCCATTACTCCTGGACGTCTCCCTACGATGAGGTCCAGAGACCTCACACTAGGGGGAGTGAAAAAGGTCTGGGATTTTAATGGGTTGCCTTATAAACCGACGATATTAAACAAAAACACATTCAGTATTTCTAACAGCATAACAAATGTAATAATATATTTGTAATTTTCTATTTTTTAGAAAACATTCACGCCCAACATTATCGGTCGTAAAACCAAGGAAGAGTAAGTTTGATAATACAAATCTAAAACAAAATACATGGCACATTTGTTTTTATTTTTGACTAACTACATTATCTGTCACGGCAGAACAAAGGTTGAAGATGAGTACAAAAAACAGAGGAAAGATGCTGGTCGAGGACGGGGTCCAAGAGAGAGAGGCAGAGGCCGAGGTCGTCCAGAAGTCATCCAGTCCCACTCCATTTTTGAGCAAGGCCCTGCAGAGATGATGATGAAGAAAAGAGGTAGCGGTTTCTTATGGGATATTATTCACTCTGACAAAACCTTGGCTGTTGGGAATTAAATTAGTTGTGCTCTAACTCAGGCGGTTATGAGACTGAGAAAGATGCTCCTAGTGTGGGGCCATCGCCCATTATCAACATTAAAAAAGAAAAGAGAGAAACAGAAGAAGAGACCAAAGAGATCCTGCGAAATCTTGAACGAGACAATGTGAGTCCTGGATTTACTGTGTGTGAGAGGAAAAGAGTGACACAGAGAGAGAGAAAGAGAGAGAGCGAGAGAGAATGTGTGTGTAAACAGTGGCTGCTGTACATATAACATTAAGTACATTATGTCTGTTAGCTTTTAGCACTTTTTGTCTTTATAAATGGCTTTATGGCGCAAATGGAAGAAGATATACTAGAATCATTTTGAACATATTTACAAAGGTAGCATTAAGAACTTGCTACTAGTTGGTTTTTAACTTTAAGATTTGGCATAAAATGCTATTTATGACAAAGCACTTAGCTTCCACATTTTTGGATCATTACTACTAAAACTAGAGATGGTTCAGGAGCAACATTTTAAAATACTATAGGTTTTAAACAGATCGTTGAGCTTCTGACAAGTTATCATGTGTCTAAGATTGTCCTCTAGTGGTGGAAAGATTAACTTAATAAGTGCCTGATAAAATCTTCCTTACATTTTTATACATTAGAATGTGGTACAATATTGGAATTTATAACCACGTGAATTTTAACCCAGTGCCTAAATGCTGTTTTTTCCCCCATATTTTTTCAGTTTGTTGATGATCCCTTCCTAAAGAGTGAAAGGAGGAGCTGCCCTGTGCAGTTACCTCTTGCTGTGTCCGGTTGGGGGTTCCAGGAGGAATTTAGTGAGGTTAAAATTGAGAAGATGGAGGAGGAGTGTGATACCCTGGATTCCACAGTAAAAGGTACAGTACCTTCTGGGGTTTCCACTGTATTTTCCAACTGGGACTAAAAGCAGGGAATAACCAGACTGAATTTCCTCAGTTAAACAGGAACAAATGGAGATAGACACGAAGAAAACAGAGGCCGCATTCAGACCTCCTCCTCTCCCTGAGCCTGAACACCTGCCTGATCTGCTGCATAGATGGAGACTGAGCAAAGGCGAGGAGCTCTTCTTCATTCAGCTGCCTGACTCACTGCCTGGTCAACCGCCCACCAAGGAGCACAAGCCAGTGAAAACAGAGGTGCAGTCACAGGACGGACAGTCTGTGCTGCTGAAAACTGATCCTCAGGTGAATCTCTCAGTTCTGTGTTTAGATGCAAAAGTACAGAAAAGTTATATAAATATAAATGAAAATCTGTTTGGAAAAACAGGAGGAGGAAAATGAAGACAACAGCTGTAATCTGAAAGACCTGAGGGAGGGTCTTATTGGGAAGATGCTCGTACGGAAATCTGGCCGTGTACAGCTAATATTGGGTCAAGTGACACTGAATGTGTCTCTTGGAACGTCATGCTCTTTTCTTCAGGTATGATGGTAAAAAGTTTTTACTGCTACAGCTTTTAAACATGAATATAAATGAAATAGACATACTCCTCTGTGCTCCTCTCTCCCTGACCTCTCAGGAACTTGCCTCAGTCAGTGCAGAAGGAAGATCTGGTGATTTGTCTGTGTTGGGAAATGTCAAACACAAAATGGTTTGCTCTCCGGATTTTGAGTCTCTACTGGAGGCCAGAGCTCTATGAAGGCAGCGCATTCACTGAAGTCACCGTTACTATATCTATCTATTCTGTACAGGATGATTATCATAACCAAACGAATTAACATTTGGTTGGTTTAATTTACATTGCACGCTAATTCAGGGTTTAACAGTGGAGCAGTGCACCAAATTACTGTACAATGTTCATTCATCTGTATGTAAAATTATGCAAAAAGAGTACATGAGTGTAAAAGTGTGAATAAAAAGCTTTTCTATCAATGTGGGTGTCATATATGTTAGTACTTACTTCACTCAATCTAATAATAATTCATTTCTGGAAAAATATTATATATTTAAAAATATTTAAACTATATTTTCTATTTCTATTCTTATACTTTTTATTATCAATATGCACATGGATGGAAATGAATTCTGGTTAAATGTTAATGTTTTTCTATTTCATACTTCGAACGCCACCTTGAAAAAGAAACGTATAAATCTTGTAAAATGTTATTTCCGCCTTTCACCAGCAGGTGTCAGGGCGAGCTGCATGGTGGGGGTGCACTGAACATGAATAGGGAAGTGATGGAGGGAGGAGAATAGGGCGGGCTGTTGGATTAGGTAACACCGACAGCGTGTTCTTGTGTGCTCTGTCGGGTGGAGTTGAGCTTCAGTCGGCCAGTCCCTCTACCAAACAAAGACAAGTGATGGTGTATTAAACGACTTCAGGAACCGGTGCTGGACACAACGTGACTGAAGGTTTGTTCACTGTTATTTCATCTTCTTCAATATTGACTACTTACGTTTTTCTACGTTAAGTAGTCAATATTAAGTGAATTTGAGTTTCTTGTTTTTAAACATGTAAGGTATTCGTCTGTCTCGGCGCTACATGTCTGCACCGGCAACATTAGCTTCAGCTAAAGAAGCTGTGGCAGCAGAAGGAAGCGTCTTTAGCTCAAAGGCTAGAAGCTAACTTCGGCTAAAAACACTTCTTTATGTTGGTACATCCAGGATTCCACTGTCACCGCCCAGTAACAGCACGTCCACTGCCGGGTTGCGTAGTTGTTTTTGCGAGGGTGTACAAAACAAGCAAAGGGTTCGCTGTATGACTAAATAAAGGGAATGTGGCTTTAAAGAGGCTAACTGCGGGTGGTTTTTAACATAGCTGTCCTGCTGCATCAGTCGTCGGGAGGAGGCCTCTAACGTTATCTGTAACCACTGATAACACTCACGGCAGCATCTCTTCTTTTCTTCAACATCCAGAGAAGCTGATCTTCATGTAATTTTGTATGTAAGTGTTTAACGGCACACTGTACGTACGCAGTCCACAATAGCATTTAACAAATACTGGAGGCTTGCTGTTTTAATGGCAACTAAAGTAAACAGAAAAATATTTCCTTTGCTGTGTCCACAAATATTTAGTGTTCCAGTTTAACCCCAAACTCTCATCATGACCATATGATGCTGAATTGTAGTTGGCAAAAAAATGTGCTGACTACAGACTTTATGTTGCTTTGTATGTCCAACTTAGTCGATGCTTTAAAACAGGAAAGGATCAAACCTTGAAGGACCTTACGTGATGTGGATCACACCTAGGAAAATAATTTTTGCACTGTGGAAAAATATATATTATTTATTATATATTTTTATATATTATAATGTACCATTGATAGATAATTAGGATACATTTTCTGCAGTGCATTATTCAATTATTTGATGTGCTTAACTTAACCGAAAACATGAATCAATATTCATCACCCTGACTGTTTGCTTGCACATGTTTGCAGGTTGCTGTGACAGTGAGCTGCAAAACCACTCGGCCATCAGCTGCGCACTTTTTTTTATTGTTTACATCTGTGTCACCAGCGGGAGCATTTGTTCAAACTGCAAACATCCTCTGAAGCAAGGACATGCCATTATTGCAGCTGTTTGAAAGACTTCATGTTCCTATTTCCTGGAATTAAGTTCAGATGAAGTCCATGGACTAATTTATGCTGAAACTAATGAAATTCAATATAACTGTCCAAGAGCGCAAGATCAAGATGGTCTTTTATCATCAGACTGATTTTATGCTAGGCATAAATGGATACACCATTCTTTAATAATCTTAATGAAGGCATTTTTCTGACAAAAGATTAGGGCGACAAGGTGCCCGGAGGTGGACTACTGTATCTCCTCTGCCATCTGCTCTGCCGCCTGTTTCCAACCTTTGTACTGACTAAGGGGGCTTTTCTACATCAAGATGGAACTTTTGTTTAACCCTTTTGACAACTTGGTTTGTATCCTGCTGGGTATCTCCTTCACCGTGTGGTTTACCCTGCTGCTGGTCTTCATCATCGTGCCTGCCATATTGGGGGTCTCTTTTGGCATTCGACGTCTGTACATGAAATCATTGTTAAAGATCTTTGAGGTAAGAAATGGATACATGCAACAGAAGCACAAAGTAACTCAATGTGTTTATTGTTCTTTTTTTTAATAATTTGAAAAAAAAATTCATCTAGATAGGCAAGCGCATCTCAGAACAAGCTTACTGTCAGATGATAGAGCTCTTTAGCTAATTTATTGCCACAGCAAATGAACAAATTAGAATGCCATTTTAAGGTTTTAAGTGCCATTTGAAAACTACTTATATAACTGTTTCAAATAATGTAAGTAAAGCAGGATACACTACTAAAAATGAAACAACCATTATGTATATCATGTGGTCCATTAGGATGATATGAGATCAAAGATACCTTTGTGTAACTACATTGATTCATATTGAGTTATTACCAGCATAATGTGCGTTTGCCATCTTAATCATTTTAGTTGTTGGTCCTGCTTGTGAAAGATGGTTTTTGTGTTTGCTCTGGAGAACTCTTCAAGATAGTCTACGTGTGAAGTACTTTTTCTATATTTTATTTTATTTACACAATACAGCTCTAAAGAAAGCAGTCACATAACTGAGTGTTTGTTTGTCAATGTTTGTTTTTGTCAAACATGCTGTTACCAAACCAACGCAAATGACCAGTGCATCATTTTAGTATGACGTAAACGTATAGACAGAATTGACAGCAGTAACATGCCTGGAATCCCCTAAAGTCTAGAATTTGCTGACAGTTCTCTTGGAAAAATTGATTCTTGCGTTGTGACTTCCATGCGTTGTGACTTACATGTGTTTCAATGTGTTTCACCAATGAAGTGGCCACCACTTTGCAGCCTGTACCTGGAAGAGCACATCTTGTCCCAGAAATAAATGGGCAAGTGGGAGCAAACAGATTTAAAGAGAAGGTCAAAGACCAGATTTATTTCAGACTGTGGGAGGCTGAAACAGTTTTTCAGCTTAATGCTGAGTCGTTAGGTGCTATTACAGGCTTCTGGAACAAATATTCTGTATCTCATCGGTGTGATTCAACGTAACATAAATAAAATTCTGTCAAGACCTTCATCCAAACTTCTTATTGGGAGTTATAAAAGTAGGAGCTAAATTTCATGCCACACATTTCTGTGACAAAGCCATTACAGCATTATTACTTTCAGCTGTAGCTGCGTTTAACATACTGAAAAAATTACAGCCACAGAATCATTTTCAGGTAGAAGAAGGAAGAAATCACTGATGAAAGTCCATACTGTTGCCTTATATAATTAAGTAATATGTGGATTTAGATTTAGATAAAACATGCCTGCAAGTTGTTGCATAACAGAGTGGATGTTCTCTGTCATTTTCTTATTTTAAATTACAATGTTAGTAAGTGACTTTCTTAAAAGGTTAACATTAGTCTGTTTTTCACATATCCCATTATTTTGTAAATGGATGGATAGTTCTGACTAAGTTTACCAAACTTCATTAGTTGATCTGTGGGAATGAGTTTTAACAGAGACTGGTGTACTGAATCACAGAGTTTAGTTGCAGCAGTGAGTGTAACAGCAGTAATGTGCTGCAGGCACAACTGCCATATCCTTGCATTCTTAGAATACCTCTGCCTTCTGGCTAAAATCCTGTGTTTCGATTCCTTTAGGAAGGCTTGCTATAGCTTGTTGTTTATGTACTTTCAATTATTTAGCTGTTTATTTATGTATTTATTTTATTCAAGTTGTTGCAGATACTGATGACGCCTCAGTCCTGCGCCTCCTTCTCCAATACTCCAACAGAAACCTGCCCCCCTTTTTGAACAGGGGAACACCATGTTCTTTTTCTGTCTCTCAGTAAACACACTGCACATTTGTTTTTGTTTCACTGGCAAGTTCACACCAAACTGTAGGCTTTTGCTTCCTAAGGCACACTTCTTGTTGAAAATGCATCAAGATGAGATGCATTATTCTGTACCAAGAAAAAGAAGTGGGCATTGTGGTGTGCAATGAGGCACTGGACTGAGGTCATGTTCTTAGAATTCAAAGTGTTTCCTTAAATTGATAATACAGTGTCATTCTTGTCTGTAGATAATAGAAAAAGAGCATTGCATCTTTGTGTTCTTTTGCTGATTGGTCAAAGGGAAATGTTGTGTATGAAGCCTTGTCAAACCTGTTGCACAGTACTTTTGGAAACAGGAGTGTGTTAACGCACAGCTTTTCCTCACATGTTTTAACTCACATATTCTAATTCATTATAATTGAAACAAATTGAAACATTTCTAATAACGAATTTAAAGTTTTTAATTTAATTAAATTAAAGTTATTTTTATATTCTTTGAGAAGACATGTTTTAACCTTTGTTGTGCTTCTGTAGTGGGCCACACTCAGGATAGAGAGAGGAGCCAAAGAGAAGAATCACCAATTGTACAAGCCTTACTCAAATGGTAAGATGTGTCAGTATAATTTCTTTTTTTCATGCTTTTCAAGCAGTAGGTGTTTTTTTTAAATCTAGTGTTAAATATGGGTATTGCTAAAATCTTGTCTGTGCTGTAATTCAGCAATCATTGCCAAGGAACCCACCTCGTTGGAGGAGGAGATCAAGGAGATCCGGCGAAGCGCTAGCAACAGAGACCTGGATTCGGCCCCTGAATTTGAGATGTCTGACATCTTCTACTTCGCTCGGCGAGGAGTTGCAAGCATCATGGACGATGAGGTGACAAAACGGTTCTCTGCTGAAGAGTTAGAATCCTGGAACCTGCTGACCCGCAGCAACTATAACTTCCAGTACATCAGCTTGAGGCTGACTGTGCTATGGGGGCTGGGCCTGCTGATCCGTTACGGTTTCCTGCTCCCTCTCAGGTAAATGATTGAATTCCAATATACTCTATGTCTGTTAGCCTTTTTTCAGGACAAACCAGTTAGAAAAAGGAAAATTATAGTCTGTCAGAGTATGAGGTTCTGCTTTTTCTTTTTTTGTTTTAGAGGATGTGAGTAACAACTTTAAGGTGATGGAAATATTTTAAAGCATGTTTAAAAAAAGATTGGTAGAACTTTGGAGACAACCAAAGGTGTCATTTAATACTAATAATGGCTAGCAGTGTACATTTATTTTTATGTAAAAGGGAACTCCTCTTTGGTGTCAGCCATAAATAACATGGGAGATGGATACAAGTTATCGGTGTCATTAAAATCTTTGAAAAACTATTTTTAGCAGTAATTTTTTAAACAATTATTAGACATTTCAGACGACCCTATTTCAGTTCCAGATGACTCATGTGGAGTTGCGAGCCCACTGGTAAAAAACAGTGCCTGCAGGTCTCGAACACAGTCTTAAAAAACACACTTATGAACCACTTATAACCTACACATTTTCACTTTTACAACACATTTACACAGGTGTTTGTTTACTGAGCAGTTACAGAGCCAATATGGTCCCATATGAACTGCACGCAAGTATTGGGAATAAAACACACCTAAACACAAAGATGCCTGTTTCGAGTTTTAAGTAAAAGGTTTGTGTCTGTTATTTCCAAGTGCAGGGGTATTTAAAATAGCATATGAGAATAATACTTACACATGAAAGGAGGTTTATCTTTTGTCCAAAATATGTATCTGTGCGGTTTAATATACAGGCAGTGGAGGCGTAGTGGTTAAGGAAGCCGAGTTACCACTGAGGTGCTCTGAGCATGTCACTGTCCCCACACACTGCTCCCCAGACACTTAAAGCTGCACTTTGGTGATGGGTTAAAAGCAGAGGTCACATTTGGTTGTGTGCAGTGGTGAGCTGTGTCACAATGACAAGTAGTTCACCTTCACTTTCTTAAAGCAATAAAATCACTTGGTGTCTGCATACAGAGAGACAGGGGAGAACCCCTCTCTTCAGAATCAGCTTAGAGCGTAACAAGGACAGTGAGTCAGTGCTAAGCTTGTTTGGCTCACTTCCATCTGCTAGTGGGGAGAGGAATCAGGCCACCGCTGCACAGACAGACCCTAATCTATTCTGTGTTGGGCTAATAGATGTTATACGGTTTTATTCACCTCTCAAGTCACTGCTCTTTTTCTTTTTTTCACATATTTACCCTATTTTTTATGGATTATTAGATTTTAGATTAAATAAATTCTACCATTGAAACCTGCAGGGATTATTTGGCCCTTCTGCCATTTCTGGAGTCCTCTGTCAGTGGAAAATATATTGAGTTGGATGGTTTTAATTGACAACCAAAACCCTGCCAACTCCCTGAATGAAAGTACTCCTGTGACACCAGTAAACACAGAGTTTAGTCCTGTCTGTGAAACCTGCTGAGGATATTCTTAGAGATGACTCATGTTTTTAAATTTTAATGACACTGGAAGATCAATTTGTTTTGTTTGTGTTTTGTCGGTTTCATGTGTAGCAAGTCCTGTCTGTTTCTTATCCAGGGTTACTCTTGCCTTCACTGGTGTCGGTCTCCTTGTGTTCCTCACCTCGATTATTGGACTGCTGCCAAATGGAAGGTATAGATCAAATAAAACTGTTCAGTTCCCTCTGAGTTCTCAACCTTAATCCTTACCTCTGTGAATTTTTCCATCACACACACACACACACAAAGTAAATAATACTCTATATTTTTTTGTTGCAGGATGAAAAACCTTTTGAGTGAGAAAGTCCACTTGATGTGCTACAGAATATGTGTCAGAGCACTGACGGCCATCATAACCTATCACGACAGGTAAAAGGCATTACAATTTGTAAACCCTCATTTCCTACTTGGCATAATGTGGAACATAATGTAATTTATTGTCACTGTGCTTATGTGTGCAACACATGATGTTATAGAGTTTTGTCTCAAACATAATTGATTCTACCATTTGTCAGTAAAAGAAGGTTTGGTTTATCTAAGGCTACTTTCACAATGCAGGCTATAGTGAACAGAATTGACCTAATGAACAAATCCAGTTGTTTTTTTTCTTCCAATGTGACGCAGGTCAGTTTCATGTGTGCTCCTGGATCATATCAGAAAACATATCAGATGTTTTTCAATGTTACTTCAGTCTGAGCAGATGTTTAACGTTCCATCCAACCGTTGTCATTGAAGTGAGACAGTTGTCATCATTCTCTGTCAAGCGTGAAGCAGATGAAATGTAATGGACAAAACAAGCGTGTAGACACAGTTCAAGGAGCTAGTCAGTGGAAAGACAACGACATTGTCATTAAATGCTAGTTAAAACATGTCTATAATGGGTGGACTGGTTATTGAAAAAGAATAGCCTTTTGCATTGGAAGGTTGGCTTGTTGCAAGCAAACACGCTAATATGTATGGTTCTGATGAGTAGACCCTCAACTGACAGAGTTTCTCAAGATGATTAGCTACGTACATGGAGTGAAAATATTCAAAAGTTCAGTGGTGATAAAGTATCACACCTCAGGGTAATTATGATGTTGGCTTTACCTTTTAACAGCCTTTAGACAAACACTGCAGAAAATGTTGTTCAACTCATACAGGTGCACTACTGTTGTTGATGATCAGGTATTTGAATGGCACACGGTGGAATGACTTGTTTTGTGTAAATAGACACGTTGACTCAATGACACTAAAGTTGATCCTGTTCATACTGATTTTGACACTGTTAATACAAGTATTATCACATAACATTATCGAAGACTTAGGACACTGTGGTCACTTCCCTGCTGGGTCTCTCACTCATCTCTGTTCACAAACAAAGGTGCACTGACAAATAACACGGTTGTTGGTCATGGGACTGAATAATATGTCTGTAAGATAGTAGGTAGTTTGTAGTGTCCTAGAGCAAAATTGTAGTTTCCTACTGCAGAGATAATTTTTTCCACCATCCAATTTGTGCTGTAGCCTTTCTTTCTTTTTAAATTTGAACTTTATCGAGATTATATTGACAAAATAGTACTTCGTGCAAGCTATGCTGTGAAAAATAGTAATTTTATTGAATGTGTGAAACTGGAAAAACAATGTGTTATTTGCTTGTGAGCCAGTTTTCCCCAGTTACAACAAAACATTGTTTTTAGCCCTAGGCTAACGAGCAAAACTTATTACACTTTTAATGCATGAAATATGCTTTAAGTAGTTTTCCTTACGTTATTACAAGTAGCCTAAAATGCGTAAAAGAGTTTGTCATCATAAACAGCATTTTTTTAGCCACAAGGTGATGTAATGGAAACATCAACATGGTTTTTGTACAAAAGATGGGATAAGGAAACATGTCTTACATTCCATAATCATTGTCCAACAATGCCTTCCTGCTGTGGCTTGACCAAGTCTGAATGTGAGATTAAATAACTTCAGATGAGTGTGGAGAACAGCATTTGTGATGACTCTGTCTTGAAGAGGGGCCCGAGGGTAGATGCAGACTGTCGGTATTCATGTTTGCTGCTGCTTTAAGATAGCACACCCCTACATTAAACAAATTGACAGAAGATAGCAAATGCAACAGGATGTGTGCCTTACTGCACTGAAAATAAATAGAGAACTCACATAGATCCCGGGTCACTTTCATGTCTTGTGGTTTTCTGCTTGTTGCAATGCACACTTATTTCCAGTCTGCGGCTAAAAATATACAAGTGACATAGGATGTTTTGCAGACCCCTCCTCCCAAACTTCCACACTCTATTTTGACTTGTAACTTAATCTTCAGACACTGTGTGCCCAGGGACCTACATGCTTTGGAGGTCAAACACCTCCAAACACCAGGAGTAGCTTTTCTTTTTCCATAACATTTAGGTTATTTAATATTATTGATGAAACTCTCATCATTACCACACATTATCAACACTGTTGGTATAATGTGCCCACTCTAATGGGTAGTAACAGACCCCGGGGTAGCTTATGAATGAATGATTCTTTAATGACCACGCTGCAGCCAGGTGGAATTTGTGACAACAGCCGTCAGTGGGTAGATGTTCGGACTGCTTTAAGCTCCATGTGCTTTTCAGTTGTTGTTGGAGAGCTGTTATTATTACAATCGCTTTAAACTAGACTTGTTGCAAGGAAACCATTTTGGAACTGCAATGCAGCAGGAAACACCTTCCACCTTCCAAACTCATTCCAAGTTTATACCACATTCATTTTTAAGATACAACTGTCCACACAGTTACAATAATCTCCAGCACAAATATGTTACTAATAGATCATAAAATATTGATATCAAAATCCTTAAAGTTGAAGAATTTTTAAAACGATGAATTTTACATCCAAGATGAGAATTCAGAATCATCTTCAGGAAAATTAATTTCTTTATTTCTCTTTGTTTATTTTCCAGTGAAAATAAACCCAAGAATGGAGGCATCTGTGTTGCCAACCACACGTCGCCTATAGATGTCATCATCCTGGCCAGTGATGGCTGCTATGCTATGGTAACCTCACAGCCTCTTGCTCGAACATTGCAGTACTTTTTCTTCTTTCTGTTTGTCTAATGGTAATTTGTCTCTCTGCGTTTGTTTGTTCTGTGGTACCAGGTTGGTCAAATTCACGGTGGCTTGATGGGTGTCATTCAGAGAGCTATGGTCAAAGCCTGCCCACACATTTGGTTTGAACGCTCAGAAGTCAAAGACAGACACCTAGTGGCAAAAAGGTAACATTACAATCTACCTTTCTGTCCTATTTGTTGATCAATCGAATTGTAAATAACGAAAGATTTTTTTTAATCATTCTGTATCAGAAGGTCAAGTCATGTTGTGATAACCTGTATCTTTTTTTCTCTTTTGCAGACTAAGTGACCATGTTCAAGATAAATCTAAACTTCCCATTCTGATTTTTCCAGAAGGTGGGCATGTTCAGTGATCTGATGATATGACCTTTTTTAAAAAATTGTCTGATTTTAATTTCTTGTTGTGTGTCTCATCATGCAGGTACCTGCATCAACAATACATCAGTAATGATGTTTAAGAAGGGCAGTTTTGAGATTGGTACCACAGTCTACCCTGTAGCTATTAAGGTGAGATTTTTTTATCATCATTATTTCAGTGTAAGGAGTTAAAGCTAGGAGGTTCTGACACTGTGGTGATGTGTTGAATTCTTTTTCTTTTTGCCAGAAACCAGCACTTGGTCTTGTCATTTGTTAGGATCTACCATTAGCCCAGTCAAAATGGCAAAACAACTTTGCTATTTGCTTAAGCTGAACTAAATAAGAATGCCTTAAAAAGTGGTTGTGTTTATTAAGAGGGATATAAGCATATACTTGGCTGTTCACTGTAATATATAAAATATTGACCCTAATTCATAATTAACAACCAAAACTGAATACCATTTGTTCCTGCTGCTTTTGTGAGAGGATTTTTTTTTGCAACCAAGCAGAGCTGAAAAAGGCAGGGAAACTGTGCAACTTGAACAATCTCTTCCACTCAATTAACGTTATTTGTCCCTTAGGAGCAGTACCATCTAAATTTTAGACTCTACTGCACAGGGGTGTCAAACTCATTTCACATCGCGGGCTGCATACGGCATAAGTAGATGTTAAGTGGGCTGACCATTAAAATTGTAGCATAGTCAGCTATAAATAACAAAAATGTCTTTCCTTTGTTTTAGTGTAAAGAAGTACAAGAACATTAGGAAAATCTTGAAATTTAATTTTACAAAACATTTCATGAAACACCTCAGATTTCTTTAGACAAACGTGTAATTTACTTTTATCATTCACATGTATGCATTGCAACTGATCCCATTGATTGTACAAAGGCACAAAACTTTAACAAGTAATAAAACATGAAACATACATACACATACAATTCATACTGAAAATTTATGGAGTTGCATGAACAGTAGAATTCCACCATACTCTTTTGTAGTGAAGCTGTTGACTAACAATAAATTGCACATTCTTTTATCACCACAGTAAGGATTCATTTTCATAGAGCTGTATTTCAGTGGATGTATTCGGTGTAAACAGTGTCTAAGGCAGCATTTTAAAGGTGTTAGTCTAGTCTAGACTGCCTTGTTTTTGTTCTAGCTGTCACTCTCAGAATGTCTTTTAAGTGCTTGTGTGTGAGCCTTGAATGCTTTTTTTGTTTTATTGATGTTCATTACTGAGAAAATTTGTTCACAAAGGTAGGTCGTGCCAAACATTCACAATTAATTTGGGGTACCCTGGCAATAGATACTGATAAAATGTCCAGACCAGACCTACCGAGGCAAATTTGCCCTTCAAATTTGCGCCACATTGCAAATCAATTATTTCTAGCTGGGTGTCGACCCGCACATCAGAAGCTTTAACTGTGAAAGGTGAGCGAAAAACTGAAAATTCTGCCTCAAGTTCACCAAATACCTGAAAATGTTTCTCAAACTCCCACAGCAATCCTGCAATCTTGTCTTTGTACCATTTCATGTCCACATCATATCAACAACAAAAAATGCAAGGTCCTGCATTCATTACTGAGATTGTAATTCCAACACCGGTTTTCCTTTTTTTACATGAACTGTCTGATTTCCTCTCGTAGATTAAAGAAATGCCCCAACACAGCACCTCATCTTAACCATCTCACTTCAGTGTGTTATGGCAGGCAGGGTATGGGTCTGTCTCAGTGATGCGGCATGTTTTCTACTCTGACCAAAACAGTGCACCCCTAGCGGATAGTTCTTGAAGCGCGTTTAATTTAAAAAATCAAACCCATGTCTTTCATGTATTTTTTCACTTTCAAGTTCATCCTGCGGGCCTGATCGAACCTCCTTGCGAGCTGGTTCCGGCCTGCACGCCGTATGTTTGACACCCCTAGTAATTCATTCTTTTAGGCTCTAAAAGAATGAATTACAAACATAATTAAAAGCTCAGGGCAGGCATAAAGCCAAAAGAGAGCAGGCACTATGTATGATAGCTCTTAGGAAGGAAGAATTTTTATTGAGGTTTAGGACAAGATATTGTGTCCGTACATACTGTACATATATCCAATACAAAAACATAGATATTTCAGAAAAACATTTTTTTGTTATCTATAAATACTGTGATATTGCTAAGTTCAAGGAATTTCTTCAAATAAGCACATTTTTAAATGAATTGAAGTGTTTTAAAAAATTAAAAATATAAAATACCTCAAAGGCAAAATTATTGTTAATATTATGTCACAAGCCAGACGTGAGGGGTTTGTTTGTGTTGTGTGTTTAACAGAAGTTTGGGACTGCTGCTATAAATTGACCATTGTTCTAGCTCTGTCTGTGACCTTAAGGAGTTGAGCAGTGTAAAATGGATGGATGATTAGATTTAACATCATTATCCACATACCTCAACTTTCCTGAAGTTTGATTGAAATTTTAAGAACACACTCAACACTCACCAAAATGCTGCAGATACACCAGTTTGTTTTCCTAACATCAAACACAAATTTTGCATCTGACCTCTTCAACCACCAAATGTGTTTAAGTTACTGGCCAAGTCACAGCCATCAATATTTACCTCATATCATTTCCTCCGACCACTTTTCCAAAACAATGTCTTGTGTGTTTACAGTATGATCCTCGATTTGGTGATGCCTTTTGGAATAGCAGTAAATTTGGCATGGTCAATTACCTGTTACGTATGATGAGCAGCTGGGCCATCGTCTGTAGTGTGTGGTACCTTCCACCGATGTCCAGAGAGGTGAGACTTTACACTTTTGTTTTTTTTAAAATCTATTTTGACATATTTTATAAATAAATATTAATAGAAGCATTGATCACACTGTCGAACCACGTTTGGTTTGTGTTTACGTTCAATGTGATTTACTCCCTTTCAGGAGGATGAGGACGCTGTCCAGTTTGCCAATCGAGTAAAGTCTGCCATAGCCAGACAAGGGGGACTGGTTGACCTGCTGTGGTAAGATTCATTTTATGCAAAGCTAAAGCTGGTGTTGCATAAAAGAACATTAAATTGGTTAATAACACGTTTATATTGCGGTTAACTTTGATTGCACAAAAATTTCTTTGGTTCCATCTCTCATGCTTCTTTTACTAAAACGTCTGATTACAAGTAAAAACCATAATGCTTTACTTCTCTGGTAATTGTCACTGGGAGTGTATATGTTGTCTTATAATGACACCACCATATTTTAGGCCAACATTAGATTGTAATATACATTAAATAACTAAATATATAAATGTAAATGTTTTTTTTAATGAAGGCAGGTGTGACAGATGTTGTACATTGTGTGTTTTTACACAAGTGAAAGCAGTTACATCTGTTACCTTAGGGTGGCAGTAGAAGGCCTTTGATTTTTGTAATGCAAAGGTATTAAGGTAGAAGTTAAACACCACCAAGATGTCCTTGTGTCCTGTCTCAAATGTCCTTTGTTTATGTATTTCATTTTTTAATGGCACTGTTCTCGATGTTACTAATTTCAGGGACGGAGGACTGAAGCGAGAAAAGGTAAAAGATACCTTTAAAGAGGAGCAGCAGAAACTGTACAGTAAAATGCTAGTGGGGACCCAAGAAGACCGCAGTCGCTCCTGAAGGACATTAGTGGAGGTCGACTAACTCAGAGACTCACTTGTGCTTATCTGACCGTAAAGGCAATCAACCAGGCTCAGTGTCTACACTCCTGGACCTGAACTGAGAGAAAAAAAATCCCTCTGTGATGTCAACAGTGCTCCATTTGGCTTACTTTGTTACTGCCACAGCCTGACGTGTTTTGTGTGCATTGCAGCTATTGGTCTTATTGAGTCTGTGGCCTTTTGTTAGGAATTTGCTCAACAGAAGCCTTGCTTGCATTAGGAATTGAAATGAGGATTTCACAGGGAAAGGATCATCGTCTTCTTCAGTGGCATACTTTTGTGAGAAAAAAACATTATCATCACTTTTGGTTAAGTTTATCTCGTTTTTTTTTTTTAAGTTTTAATTTTTAATTTTTTAATGTCATGTTTGTATCAGTGTTGACACTTTCAGACCTCTTTCTGTGTGGGATATAGATTGATTTGTTGTTGCTAAATCCTGTGACTGAGGTGGATTTTTGCATGATTGGCAAATGCCCACAATATATGGGGCATTGTGGCAAGTTCTGTTACAGTTAAAATATTGTGTTTTTGTTTTCCCATGAAAAATGGAAACTTGCATTCTAAGGTTTGTTTTGTAAGGTATTGTCATGGGAGATCATCTCTTAATGTTTTTGCCAGTTTCTTTGTTCTTTCCGCAGAATGTGTAAATCCTCACATTATGAAGTGGAACTTGTGCATCACAGAAACTTAGATGACGATTTGTGGTCAGAATGGAGAGTTTCTTGTTGAAGCTCATGGTTTCAAAGGGATAAGTGATTTTATTAACAATTTATTTGAGTTACTGTTAGCATTGACCCTTCTAGGCCCAGGGCTTTTACAGATAATGAAGTAGTATAATCATGAACGCGTTTAGGCTAATGTTGCTCACACTAACTAACCTTCAGACAGCCACTCAAGTTATATTAGCTCTCTGCTTGTGCAGTGACAATAACGCCCTAATATATTTTAAGTAGACTCCAAAACAATTTGTCTGAATTTCTCCATCCATCAGTAATCTGTCCTACTTGGCAGTCTCCACAAGTAGGTTTATGAAAGAAGGGACAGAGTGCAGCTGTGGTTCTGACTCCTCATCAAGTTGGGGAGCAATGTGGACAGCCTTGTAGGCTCTTCACCAAGGCCCACACTCACTTTTTTTTTTATCTTTCAGGGATTGTTTTTGAGATCATGTCAAATCTCTTCATCAAAATAAATGTTTAAGAATGTGAAGTTGTCTTCAACTCTTGTCTTTTCATCCTTCCACAAATGCAGTACTTAGAATCTTGTAATTTATTGTCCAACCCTAGATAATCTGTGTTATAGTTGTCCAGATGTAACATTTAATAGATGTGATGGATGTCGTCAAAAGGAGATATAAGAATATTAGAACATATCTACTGTAACTAAGTATGCCAAATGTCTTGTTTACCGTTTACATATAAGATTAAGTTAACTGCCCACTCTAAATTGACCCTCTACGTATGAATGAGAGTGAATGTGAATGGTTATTCGTATACATATATGGCCCTGTAGTAGACTGGTAAACTAATTGAAAGGGTGGGATAAACCTTAGTCTCCTCAGAACACTGAAATTAATTGATCAGTAGAAAATGGATGGAATGCTTCCTCCCTTTCCTCTAGGGTACTAGAGGTACTACTAATGTTTTAATGGTAAATGTGTCTACTGCTGTTTCATAGCAAACCATACAACATGTTTTTTTTTGTCCAATACAGATTAGCTACCTGAACTGTTAATAATCTAAGTAACAAATTTCGATCATATCTCTTCAACACCCATTATATACTCTATCTCTGCAGAAGCTTTAGCTACTGCAACCAAAGCCCAGACCTCTCTCTCCCCTCCTCACTGCTAAAAAAACAACATCTAAATCCTTCCTCAGGGCTTTGCTCTTTGACTCTCCTTCCAAACCGGTGATGAACGTGGCACCATTGTCTCACACCTCTGTTGCAGAAGTTTTAAATGGACGGGTTGATGTTGGTGAATAAAGCACACAGTGCTGAAGAGGAGGAGTCAGAGGAAGCAGGCAGAAAAGCCTAAAAGGTTGGCTGTGTACAGCACATCGTGTTTGAACTGCTCATCAACAGCACTATGGAGAAGAGTTGGGCCCCCAGTAATCACTGCTTTCCTCTGGCTAGGTACTTTTCATACAGAGAGCTAGTGCAAATCCATCTGAAGTCAAAGTTTGGCAACTCTCTTCTACATTAAAGAGAACATGCAGTGGCTGCTGGGGTGTAGAACAATGTGGTACTATACTTTTGTGATTGCTGAGAAAAGAGATATACAAAAATCCATAGGCCAATCAAATTGTTTTGCTGATAAACAGTACTATCATCTGCATATGGGCTTTGCACTGTATGGGTAAAGGTGGCAGCAGTGATCAGCTCCATTGATAGTAAGACTGTCTAAGACAGAAGACACAAATAAAGTTGAGTGTTGGGGAAGTGACCGCATTCTGTTGTAATAAAAGGTTAGTTCACTGGAAGACATTGAAAGAATAAAAATGACTAACTTCCTGTTGAGTAAGCACAAGTTGATACTAGTCTTACTTAGTTTTATAGTAAATCATTTTTATAGCTTTCTAGTTGAGTTCAATCTTTAATATATAATAGCATTTGGGCAAATAAATGAAGAAAGATATGAAATAACTAAATATAAAAATACTTTTATATCCAGTGTAATGTCACTGTTGCTTTATAGCATGTTAACTTTATAATGCCTGTCTTGACTTGGAAATGTAATACATCAGGCATGTCTGTTTAACCCTGTTCTATTTCTTTTTTGTTTTACTGTAACTGGCATTCCTCTATTACTATATTACATTAATTAATTAAGTAATAATCATTATCCCACAAGGTTACATTGTTTTCTTATCTTCTACTTCTGCTAAGAATTTTACTCCAGGTTGCTCATGACTCAGTTATTCATTTACGAGATGTTGCGTATAATTATTTATTTAAATTTACATTGTTTTATATGTACACGTCTCTCAGGCATCCTCGAAAGCTCTCACGAGTTTTGCCATTTAACATTTGTCAACTGTTGAGCTGCATTATATTTAATTTCACATTTTTTTCAACTACGGTCATTTAACTGATTTTGAATGAAAACCTGTCAAAAATATTGAAGCTTTGAAACAAGCAGGTCTGATCAAACTTCCAACACGGATTTGTGTTCAAAGAAGGTTGTTGTGACCTGGTGTGTACTCCTTTTTAGATTGTTTATGCTTAAATGATATGTAGAGGAAACAGAATATGTAGAGAAATAGCTGTGACATTTCTTTAGAACGTTTCATTTTCCTACCATCGTTTTATAGCCCCAACGTTATGAAAATAGTTATCTTTGTGTTTTATATATTAATAAAACGGTAAGTTTGGGTAACACTGGGAAGAAGCAGTGGGCGGAGCAGCGACAGCGTCTTTATGTGTAACATATGCAGCACGGCTCTCCACCTCCTCCTACTGCTTTAAGTCTGGCTAAGAAGCCACTAAGTCCAATTAACCGAGAGGAGGCGGAAATCCTCGCTTTAGGAGCTGCCGACGCCGCCGCCGCTGCCGCCGCTATTACCGACGCTCTCCCGCCGCCTCTGTTCTTCTGGACGACGGTTAGTTAACGTGAGCTCGGCTCTCCCCGCCAATCCAACATGACGACCTGACTCCCGCTCATAATACAAGTCAACAGCAGCAGTCAGACGTTTGTGGTCCTTCCGGACCTGGAGTGGTTTGAGTGTAGCTGTTGACAAGGGCTCGGTCTTATTCTTTCAAAAGCCGTCGACGCCGCGCAGTTTCCTGCGTCAAGGTGCGTGAAGGGTCGTCAACATGGAAACGCGGTACACGGATGTGCTGCTCGTCACCGCAAATGTCGGCTCACTCTTTGACAACGTAAGTAACCTGTTCAAAGTTGGCAATTATTACTTCACAGCATGCGGTATTTGCTGTTATCGCTGCCCACAGCAGGATATTATCTATATACGAGACTTAATATTTTAACAAACCTGTGCCTTTCCCTGTGAACGTACATATTTTACTGATGTTTAACTTCCTCTGTGTCTCTGTCAGCTACTTTATTAATTTATTATTGTTTAACAAAATTAATTAAATCCAAAGATTCAGGGCAGAATACATCTAATGTCAATGTCTTCTGTTAATGTCTTCAGTTTTCTTTTGTTTTTCCTGCAGAAGTGCGCCCAAGAGTTAAATGTCAAAATAAATTTATTGTTATCCTATAATTAATAAGTGGTTCTCAAACTTTTTATACTGTGTACCCAATCCATATACAGTATATTTGGCACTTCAAGTGCCACAAGTATGACCCACAATAAATATAGCCACAGAGTATATGAAGTATAGGACGATAAGTTACTCAATTATTTTGCTGAGTATTTATTTATTTATTTAGTTGCTGAGTATAAATATGTAGCTAACAAACTTACTACTTTGGGGCAGTGGTGGCTTAGTGGTGAAGGAAGCAGACTTTGGTCCGGAAGGTTTCAGTCTCTCCCGGCTGCCAAGTCACCACTGAGGTGCTCTGAGCATGGCACCGTCCCCACACACTGCTCTCCAGGTGCCAAAACTGCTCCTTGCTGACTTTGGTGATGGCTTAAAAGCAGAGGTCACATTTGGTTGTGTGGAACGGTGTGCTGTGTCACAACGACAAGTAGTTAACTTTTACATTTTTACTGATGTTTGAAATGAACATTCATTGCAAACAGAAAATCAAAAAACAATGTAAAATATTTCTGTTGAAAGTGGAAATTAACTTAATTCAAATTAATTACTAATTTGTACACATTTTGTGCAAAGAGGAAAGTTGCATAGTACTGTAGTACTATGCACACATCAGAGCTAGTTATCGCATGTTAATCGCACATTAATATAAGGTGAAGGTGCAGGAGTTTAGGTACTTAGGATCAACTGTTCAGAGCAGAGGAGACTGTGGAAGAGAGGTGAAGAATAGAGTACAGGCAGGATGGAACAGCTGGAGAAAAGTGTCAGGAGTGATCTGTGACAGAAGAGTGTCAGCTAAGGTGAAGGGAAAGGTTTACAGGACGGTGGTGAGACCAGCCATGATGTATGGTTTAGAGACAGTAGCAACAGGCAGAAGACAGGAGGAGGAGCTGGAGGTGGCAGAGTTAAAGATGCTAAGATTCTCTCTAGGAGTGACAAGAATGGACAGGATCAGGAATGAGGTCATTAGAGGGACAACACAGACAGGAAGGTTTGGAGGAAAAGCTAGAGAAGCCAGATTGAGATGGTTTGGACATGTGCAGAGGAGGGACAGTGGATACATTGGTAGAAGAATGTTAGAGATGGAGCTACCAGGTAGGAGACAAAGAGGAAGGCCAAAGAGGAGATATATGGATGTAGTGAGGGAGGACATGCAGATAGTTGGAGTCAGAGTAGGAGATACAGAGAACAGAGAGAGATGGAAAACAATGATTCGCTGTGGCAACCCCTGAAAAAGGGACAAAGCTGAAAGAAAAAGAAGAATTGCAGTTTTTACATCTTTTAATTTTTCTGATATGTGTTCTCTCAAACTGTCTGGAAACAGTTCAGTCAAAGCGGTCTTGTAGTCTACTAGTAGTTCTGGTCATTTTTCCTAGCTCCATTCTTAAAAAAACAGATGGCAACATCAATTTTCTAAAGATTCTGGGTGTCTTCTGTCCTTGTCATTGCCCCACATATAATAGAAAACACCTTATCCCAAAGGACCACACACTGCTTAAATGAATGTTTGTGTGTTTTTTCTGTTAGTCAGCAATTGATAAAATCCTTGCAAAGGAATTAAAAAAGTTTAAATGTTTTTATATCATTAGGTAGGTTTCTTAAATTTCTAAAACTTGAAATTTACTTGATTCATGTTTGGCAGTCTTGGCTTATAACTTAATTACTTTCTACTTCATTTTATAGAAACAGGTTCCTATGATTAGGCCAGGTGGGACAAGGCATAATTTAAAACTGTTATTGAACTATTCTAAAGTAAGGGAAGACCAGACTGTGTTGGAACATTGAGACAGAGTACAGAGGAGAAGAGGAGGAGGAGGAGGAAGCTCTTACGTTTATGGAAATTTGGCTCTGGACCATGATTCCGGTTGCCTAATGTGGCTTCTGTGAAAACACGTTGAAAACCATTGTGGGAAATATGTAAACAGATGAATATCTTCCCCACAGGACGTTAGCTTTTTTACCTTCACAGGCCCCTCTGTTTGTATAAATAAACTTTGACTCTGACTTTAGGATCAGAACAAGATCCTTAAGCACATGACAGAGGTTTAAAACCTCAAGCTTTTGAAGACAGATCCGCTGCAGCAACATCTTTTCTGTTGTGTTGTTGTGCAGAGTGTGATAAAAAGTCAAATATTTTTGCTAATGTCATAGAAAGTACACACTTGATAGGGGATGATGGGGGGTAAATTCATTGGGACATGAGGAAATATTTCATATGTTTGGAAGTGTTGGAAAATGCTTTAACCACAATATCACACCATATTTGGGATTTATAGTATTATGGAGCGCTGCTTTGGGCAGTTGGCATATTCCAGCTCAGGCACTTTTATACAGAGTTAAAATATTTTTTAAAGCAGCACCTAAAACTTAAAAGATATAAAATGTTTAGATTAATTTAGTACATTTTCTTTCTTATATCCAAACAGGACCAGAATTATTTCACTTAACAATAATGAAAAATGTCAAGTTGATTATTACATATTCCCTTTTTAATTATTTAGATTGTTTTTTTTACCGTTTTTTTTTTTTTTTTTAAAGTTGAAATAGATATACTTTTCCAAAAACCTACTCAGGTTTCCTAGCCCTGCAAATTTATTTAAATTTATAATAATTTTTGCAACATATCCTTCAGTTACGATAATGTTTTGACATACAACTCAACTCCATCAATTTTCTATAGGATTAAAATCAGACATTTGTTTAATTTTGACACTAATTAAGGTGTAACAGTATGCATAATCATACTGTATGTACATTTTAGGACATATACATAACCCTATACATAGTTACTGTGGTAGATGGTTTCAAAATAAAAACTTCCCTGGATCACAAGTTGGGAAGTCATTCAGTTTCTTTCGGCAGTTTCCATTAGTTAGCATGGAACTAATGGAAACTGTTCCATGCTAACCTCTTAAAAAGGAATCTTTTTCAGGTCTGCTGTTTGACAACACTGCAGTTTTTCACTAAACTGAAGTAGCAGGGAAGAGAGGAGATTGAATAAGGAGAGAAAGCGTGTCATTGTTCAGATGAAAACTGCTTGCCTGCTGGTAATACATCTAACACTTGAAACAGCATCATCAGACCACACATATAACTGGTATAATGTACCAAACTGGGATGTCAGTATCAAGGCACATACTGAGCCATAGCTTTGCATAGTTAAACCCAGATTCTTCTTAGTTATATTTTGGGTTACTATATTGAATGATGTTATGAGACAAAAATTCAGTGGACCTCTTATAATGTGCCACTCTTTTGTTTTTAAAGCCAGTGATCTCCTTGTCATAGTGACACAGCTCACCACTGCACACAACCAAATGTGACCTCTGCTTTTAACCCATCACCAAAGTGAACAGGGTGCAGCTTTAAGCACCCGGGGAGCAGTGTGTGGGGACAGTGACATGCTCAGAGCACCTCAGTGGTAACTTGGCAGCTGGTGGACTTGAATCTGAAGCTTTCCGGACCCAAGTCCGCTTCCTTAACCACTAAGCGACCACTGCCCTTATGATTAGACGGATCTGTTTTTTTTTAATTTTTAAAAAAATGTTACAATTAAGGAAATATTGACTGTTGTTGATGTTATATTTCTAGGCATTTTTACCTCAATAAGAGTTCATAGAGTGAACCTTTAAGTATTAAATGCACCTGTCATAGAATTGTAGTTTCACTGGGGGTCCAGAATGGGCAAAGTAATTCTTAGGTATCATAGGATTGATTGATTTTGGTGTAATGTTTAGTTAGTTCCACATTACGTTCTTTTGATAATACTGCTCATTCCACTTGTTGACCCCTAGAAACACCTCACTTTAAAAGTTTATAAAATAACTATGGTAACAAGCATCACTGGTCATTCTTTGTCAAACCCCATATTTTGAAGTCACAGTAGTAGGTAACAGCAGTCCATTTGGCACAGCCATGCAAATACACTATGCAAAACCAGGTGCATTCAAGCCACTGTTGGAATGAAGGCAACCTGGCCTAACCCTGACACCAGTCAGTGGCTCAAATCTTGAGGCGGGTGTGTTCGCAACATCCTGGAAATGCCTGACTTAAGGTTCATCCAGTGGAGCTGCTTGTTTTCATTACAATGAATGCTCTTAAAATGAAGAATATTTTTAAAGAAACAGGAATGACATTGAGAGGCAGAAGTGCAGTAATTAGTCACAATTTCATTTGATGCTGTTTGGAGATCAGCTGCCAGTCTGTTCCTCCTTCCCAAATATTGGTGGAGTCAGTCCACTGTCATCCGTAGGACATCTCTCATTTGAATCACAATCACGGATCTGTGGTTTGGTTTTTAATTTATTCATAATTCTGATCTTTTAGTGTACATCTGGTAAGTCTCAACAAAACAACCTGTGTGAAACTTTAACCAGAGTTTTGTGAAGTCTGCCCCATATTGTCCAGTAATAGTACTGCACCTGGGACTGTAATTCTGATTAGCTCCAAAAACAAGATATCTATTCACTGTTATTTACTGTTTGTGGTGCACTTTTGGGCTCACACTGCAGGGGGAGTAATACAGCTAAATGAAATTTTATAGGCTATGATTTAATTTAGGTACTGTTAATGTTTTTTTTTTATTAAATTGTGTTGTCATTATTTTTACATTTACATATTTCCACTGAAACTATAGTGTCTTATTCATTGGTAGTAAAGTCAGAGGGGTCATTTTGAATAGTGTGAGTTTCAAACTCCAAGTATGCAGAAAAAAAGTGATTATTTCATTTTTTTAAATTCAGGCTCTCATATTTAATCAGGATAAAGAAACATTTCTCAGTGGCTGACACATGACTGATCCGTCAGTCTGTGCTCTGTGTCAGCTCAAACAGAGGATGTAGAAAAAACAACACGACCAAGAGATTTAAGCCCCTTAAGCCCCTAGTGATCTGTCTTAAGTCTTACACTGTGTAATAACAAGAAGTTCGTCTGCTCTGCTCTGCTTGTACATGTTTTACAGTGAACTCCTCTGCACAGTGGCCATACAATTTTAAACACACCTTTAAAAAAGACCCGTCTTTGGTGTGTGGCCAGACTTTTACAGGTGCAGCTGAGCTTCCTGGAAATTGTAACTAGTGGAACAAAGAGGATCAGATTTCCCCCTGTTTTTTTCCTCTGTTCTGCTGACAGTAAGAAGAGAGTTTCCTTGATCTGTCTTTGTTTGAATTTTTAATCTACAAATCCTGATAATTTTCTACCAAAGAGACAGTGGTTTTGTATGCAAATTTGAAATAACTCAGATATTAACTTGGATATCTGGCAGTGGTGGCCTAGTGGTAAAGGAAGCAGACTTCGGTCCGGAAGGCCCCAGGTTCGAATCCACCAACTAAAGGAAGCGGACTTCGGTCCGGAAGGCCCCAGGTTCGAATCCACCAACTGCCAGGTTGCCACTGAGATGCACTGAGCATGGCATCGTCCTCAAGCACTGCTCCCCGGGCGCCGACCACGGCTGCCCACTGTTCACTTTGGTGATGGGTTAAATGCAGAGGGCAAATTTCGTTGTGCATGGTGTGCTGTGCTGTGCTGTGTCACAATGACTAATAAAGATAAGTTTAAGTTTTTATAAGTTTAATCTGGAAATAACTTGGATTTAATTTTTCAAAGATGTAGACTATGGCCCAGAGAGGTCCAGAGAAAACATAGATAAGCAATGAATTGTAAACGTCAATAATCCAACACCAAATGTATACAAATCTCTGTGCTTTCTATTGTTTTTTTGGTTTAAACTGTTTATGTTTACGTGAGCCTCAACCTGCTTAACTGCTTTCATATAATTATGACATAATCACTACTTCCTTCCACTACTTTGTGCAATGATCCGTTTTGTTCCTGCT